ACACATAGTATCAGCTGACACAAACACACACACACACATGAGTATCAGCTGACACAAACACACACACACATGAGTATCAGCTGACAAAAACAAACACACACATTAGTATCAGCTGATACAAACACACACACACACACACACACACACACACAGATGAGTATCAGCTGACATAAACACACACACCCATGTGTATCAGCTGACACAAACACACACACACACACATGTTTATCAGCTGACACAAACACACACACATGAGTATCAGCTGACATAAACACACACACTCATGTGTATTAGCTGACACAAAAACACACACACATGTTTATCAGCTGACAAAAACACACACATGTGTATCAGCTGACACAAACACACACACATGTGTATTAGCTGACACAAACACACACTAATGTGTATCAGCTGACAAACACACACACACACATGTGTATCAGCTGACGTAAACACACACACACATGTGTATCAGCTGACACAAACACACTCTGATGTGTATCAGCTACCGTAAACACACACACATGTGTATCAGCTGACGTAAACACACACATATGTATCAGCTGACGTAAACACACACACATGTGTATCAGCTAACGTAAACACACACACATATGTATCAGCTGACGTAAACACACACACATATGTATCAGCTGACACAAACACACTCTGATGTGTATCAGCTGACACAAACACACACACACTTGTAGCAGATGACACAAACACACACACACGTGTATCAGCTGACACAAACACACACACACATGTGTATCAGCTGACACAAACACACACACACATGTGTATCAGCCGACACAAACATACACACACATGTGTATCAGCTGACACAAACACACACACATGTGTATCAGCTGACACAAACACACAGACATGTGTATCAGCTGACACAAACACACACACATGTGTATCAGCTGACACAAACACACACACATGTGTATCAGCTGACACAAACATACACACGTGTGTATCTGCTGACACAAACACACACACACACACACATGAGTATCAGCTGACACAAACACACACACACAAGTGTATCAGCTGACCAAAAAAAAACACACACACATGTGTATCAGCTGACATAAACACACACACATGTGTATCAGCTGACATAAACACACACACACATGAGTATCAGCTGACAAAAACACACACACATGTGTATCAGCTGACATAAACACACACACACACATGAGTATCAGCTGACACAAACACACACACATGTGTATCAGCTGACACAAACACACACACATGTGTATCAGCTGACACAAACACACACACCATGTGTATCAGCTGACACAAACACACACACATGTGTATCAGCTGACACAAACACACACACACACATGTGTATCAGCTGACACAAATACACACACTTGTGTATCAGCTGACACAAACACACATGTGTATCAGCTGACACAAACACACACACATGTGTATCAGCTGACACAAACACACACACATGTGTATCAGCTGACACAAACATACACACGTGTGTATCTGCTGACACAAACATACACACGTGTGTATCTGCTGACACAAACACACACACACACACACATGAGTATCAGCTGACACAAACACACACACAAGTGTATCAGCTGACCAAAAAAAACACACACACATGTGTATCAGCTGACATAAACACACACACATGTGTATCAGCTGACATAAACACAAACACACATGAGTATCAGCTGACAAAAACACACACACATGTGTATCAGCTGACATAAACACACACACACATGAGTATCAGCTGACACAAACACACACACATGTGTATCAGCTGATACAAACACACACACACATGTGTATCAGATGACACAAACACACACACGTGAGTATCAGCTGACACAAACACACACAAACATGAGTATCAGCTACCACAAACACACATACATTTGTATTAGCTGACACAAACACATACACACATGTGTATCAGCTGACACAAACACACACACACACACACATGTGTATGACACAAACGCACACACATGAGTAACAGCTGACACAAAAACACACACACACATGTGTATCAGAGGACATACACACCCACACACACATGTATATCAGCTGACACAAACACACACACATTTGTATCAGATGACACACACACCCACACACACACCCACACACATATGTGTATCAGCTGACACAAACACACACACACATGTGTATCCGATGACACACACACCTACACACATGTGTATCTGCTGACTTAAACACACACATGTGTATCAGCTGAGACAAACATACGCACATGTATGTCCGCTCTGTCCATACTTCTTCCTCCGCCAACTACTGCAGCCACGGCCATTCCGTAGGTTCTTTTTACCCTAACGTGTCCTGGTGTGTACAGCCAAGAGAATTTCTTGGGGCGGGATTTCAGGATGCTGTCAAGCCATTCTAATCGGAGTTTACCAGTCTTGATCTTTTTTAGCTTTCTCAACAAAGCGGCAACCCGTAATCCCCTGGACAGCAGACCATTCTAAAAAATGTATGGATGGAACGTGACCTAGTTTGTTCGGGGAGATTATTGTAGAACTGACCGACTGGCTTACAGCCACTACGCTAAAACGACTCCTCTATCATCAGTATGGATACATGTTTTATTTGTTTACCCTGAAGGGCTGGCTATTCAACTGACTGCCCACGGGCAAAATCTGACCCGTGAAGGTCTAGAATGTGGCCCACGGATCATTGCCAGTTATATTATGATACTAATCCAAACATTATATGTCTCATGCGTCTGGCACATGACGATGTCTAGCTTCCACATTTTGGTCCCTGAGTAAAAGTCGTCGAATTGCCTTGCCAAAATATGTAAATACTATAATTTAATCACTTCAGTCAGCTCAGTTTTGTGTGTGTTATGTTTTGTTTTTTGTTGAAGATAGGGATGCTTCGAGCAGAGTGGCAAGCTTCACTAGAAAGGTCACGGGTAAAGTGAGCATGCTTTGGATCTTTTTTCCAGGCAATGCAGGCGTGGTGGGTAATGAACAGTCGGACAGATTGGTTGTATCTGCACCACTGGGTGGTGAATTAATACATGACAAGGCAGATGTGGTCAAGGCCCTTTGGGAACAAGCGATGGAATCAATAGAGAAACAAGATTGTTATGGCCTGGAGAGAATGAGGCTTCTGGATGTAACCAGAGGGTCTGCCGGCTCACTACACTCAGAGGAAAGGCAAGACGGACTTTTAACCAGATTGTGACCGGTACCATCAGTACTGGAACTCTGCGCTGGCTGCTTAAGACGAGGACGGAGCATGCATGGAAATGCCCCGAGTGTTGTGATGTCAATTCTTGACTCAACTCGACTCAACTTGTTTCCTGTTGTTGTTGTTGTTCCTCTGATAAAGGCTAATCGTCGCAACGTCCTCTGTTTGTTGTAAATGGTTTTGTAAATGCGATGTATATTCTATGTTCATCTTACAATTTTCAATATATTCTCTTCCCTATCTATTGTATTATTTTTAGATCTTTTTTCAGACCTACATGTAAAGACATGTTTATTCATTTGTCTTTCCCCCTGATCAGTATAAGTGTGTCAACAAACAAGTGTTGGCATACCTACCGTATATTACCATCGAGTTTGTGCCGGGTTTTTTTTTTTTTTTTTGGTTAGTAGCTTGTGTAAAGAAAAAATTTTGCAATGATTAATCTACATATTGATTGGAGTTAATTTGAATTGTTTTTACTTGTCCAATAAACTTTTTCCAAATTCCAAATTTTTTTTCCTTTTCTGAAACGTCACCAGACAAGTATATGTAAATCTCTCCTGCAGTCTTTTTTTTTTTTTTTTATTCTTTACACATTTCTATATTTATTTTTATGGTATTATTCTCGGAGATGTCAAAATCCTTTTCAGCATAGAGACATCTTGAGCAAGATGTATACAACGATACTAATGGCAAGATCAGATTAATAGGTGGACGAAAAGCAAGACGTTACTTCTTATGTGTATCGACATCCTAGGACATCTTCCATTCCTTCGAGGCAGCAGCCAGCTCAGTGTCTCTATGCTCTCTGTTCTTAGTAAAAGTTGACTGACATATCTTTCTTTGCCCGCAACCGTGTCCTCCTGTGATACTCATTTCCAACAGGCGATTCACTGCCTCTGACTCCTCTGTCTCAAAGTCTCTGGAACGCAGCGCATTCAGTCAGT